TAATGATAGGGTTGGGGCGGGGGTTTGTTTTACTCTTCACATGCAAAGAACGGCCAGCAGAGGGTGGCACTGCCTCACTTGCCTACCCTCTCTGTATATCCATTGTTTTTCTCATCTCAGTTTTCTCCCTTTTGTACTTGGTGTGAAATCTAGACCTGTTCAAAACCAAGCTGTATATCAGAAAATGGAAAAATATCCATCCATCCATCTATTTTCTAATCAGTTTATCCTCACAAAAGTCGCGGGCGTGCCATCCGCGTTTGCAATCACACCTCGGGACAATTTAGAGGTTCCATTAACCTGCCATTCATGTTTTTGGAATGTGGGTGGAAGCCGGAGTACCCAGAGAAAACCCACGCAGGCACGTGGAGAACATGCAAACTCCACATAGGAAGTCCGGAGCCGGAATCGAACCCTGCACCTCTGCACTGAGGCAGACGTGCTAACTAGTCAACCACCGTGCCACCCTTGGAAAAATATTAACTTTCATAATAATATTGTTTTTGTCACACTTAATTGAACCATCATATATACACAATGTGTATACAGTGCAATTGTGTATTATTTCCAGCGTAAACTAAATATGACTAATTATCAAGACAGATGCCAATTCCAGTTTTGAAATGAGTATTATCTTTTTGTGTCTGCAGGTGGAACGTCCTTCCTTTTCAGTTGATTGCCTCAGGAGAGACACGTCAGATTCAAGAATGAATGGACTTCCGCCAAAGGGTAACATTAAGTCTCTCAGCCAAATGGCACAGTGGTCTCCTTGTTAGCACTTGCCTGGACCTACTGTCATTTTCTCAGGCCTCAGGCCCAAATTTTGTTGTTATTTCCTTCATATTAGCTCATAATATATATCTTTTTCTTTTTGGCAGACAAACACAGGCGAGTAAGCAAAAACGGCATTCCCATCTGCAACCTCATTCATGATATTTTGCAGAGATGCAGGCTTAAATCATGTACAGTACAATAACCCCCACCCCCCCCACTATATCACTATTACCGGTTGTATTGAATGAAGCAGACTTTTCTCTCAAACATGTAATTTTGTGGGGTCCTGCTAATACATTTATAACGTCTTTTAATGAGCTTTAATTTGATTACAGGGGATGGGATGGGTATTTTAAGGCTTAAATGAATAAACATATTTCTAGATGTCTGACTTGTCTTCTCTCTCTGCCCCATCAGATTTAAAAGCTCGACAAGAGCCCATGCTCACCTGTGAGCTTTGTGGCAAGGTGGACTTTGCGTACATCTTCAAAAGGTCCAAGAGGTTCTGTTCGACACTATGTGCTAAAAGGTAATGAAGTATAGTCGGACACAGGATTGGCCCACTTTGTCTGCCTTCGTACTAAAACTAAAGTCTTGAGCCCCAGCTGCAATGAACAGTATGTTTCAGTTCGGCAAAATATGTGTTCCTTGCCTTTCCGAAGGTTGTAATTGGTGCCAAAATAACAGATCTGTCCACGCCAGGTGTAGGCCACAAAGTCAGCTGGAATACACTCCGGCTCCATGTAACCCTGAACAGGATAAACACTCAAGATACAATCATGAAATCACCGTGGACGAAGGCAGAGGCTTCAAAAACTTTTTTCCACATTATATCAATGCACCTCTCTGTCATTTAACACTACTTGCATAGCTTACAGTTGTCACCACGTGCCGCTGCGCTACATTGTGGTGGAAACGTGTCAGTTTACTCTTCCAAAATCCACCTTTGTTGGAGGAAAAGTGAGCAAACCTTTGACAATTATTCTCGTTTTAGTCTCCTGACCCTGTCTGTGTAATGCAGGTATGATTCCATGTTCAAAAATAAGCCACACCGTGACATGTTACCTTATTTTTCGATGAAAACAAACATTAAACCTGTTTTCCAAGCATTTCTTATTAACACATCAGTGTTCTTACGACTTAATGATGTACATTTTTATATTACTGTAATTATAGCCATTACTGGATCAGAGGTTATTTCCAATGCCGTTAAGTGTGTTCATAGTCTGGTTGTTGCAAAAGAAAGCCAAGTTACGGGTAAAATGTTTCTTGACAATAATGAGCTCTGTGCGACCCCACTAGTCGAAAACAGCATCTCATGGGGTGGCCATTTTTCCACTTGCTGTCGACTGAAAATGACATCACAGATCAGGCACGGCTTTGCATCAAATGTGCCAGCGCCACAATGGCCTCCTACCAGATCAACCGTGCCGCGCAGGATAAACGGGTGGATTTTACTGCGTAGTTTATATTCCATTAATACAAGATTAAACAGACTGCCGTCTTTAGACTGTTAGAGAACGCAATGACACATTATTGTCAAGAAAAATTTTGACTTGGCTTGTCTTTACTTGAAACAGAGCAATCGCGTTTGATTTATTGGTCAAAACTTCAGCCAAGTGTTTTTTTTTTGTTCCAAGATACAATGTAGGATGCACAAAAAGAATCGGCCTCTTCCCAATCCGTAAATCCACCCTGGAGGACACGAAAAAACAAAAAGGACTGAATGAAAACCCCCAAAACTCGAGTTTGGAGTTAAAAGACAAGGTGAGACGCAAATCAGCTTCAGTTGTTATTAATGTTCAACATATCCATATGTCAGTATTTGTCTAATGATGATTAATTGTGATTTTTGAAAGTAGCTTTTTTTTTCTTTTTTTTTTTTGCTTTCAGACATCTTCCTGCGTTCGGAAGTCAGCTGGTCACGTGACTCACCCCGCACAGGGGGAATCAAGCCAATGTTCAGACTTGTCCGGCAATAAACAAGACTGTTGGGGACCTCGGGCGCAAGGCGCTGAAGTCCCGCGGGACCCCGGCCAGTGGAACGTGGACGACGTTTATGTTTTCATCTGCTCTTTGCCAGGTGTGGGCTTGTCTTGATTGGATTGGATTGGATCAAGTAGGATCCAATCGCATCTGCTGTGTGCTTTTCCTTTCTTCGCATTTGTATTGTCCATCAGTTGTGCAAAGTAGTTTTTTTGAAGGAAAAAAAAAAAGAGTGGCAGAATAATTTGCTTGCCTTCATAGCACTCACTCACTTAAGTTTCTAAATCTGTTTTCTTGAATAGTAACTAGAAAGGAACAGAAAATGACGACTTTCTGTTGCTATATATTTATCAATACAACCTTGCAAGAGATTCTATGGAAACCAGTAATTACTTTGAAAATCAGCTTTCTTCAACTGGACAAAAAAAATAAAAAATACATTGCACTTCCAACGCCAAACAAAGCCAAATCAAACTGTCTTGCAGGAGTCAAATCATGCTTATTTGCCTCCGAAAAGGAAGAGTCTGCACTTTGTAAGGCTTTTAAGCCTGTTAGGATGCCAATGTGGTACTTACACATTTGAGCAGGAACATGCAAAGCTGCGCTTGTACCCTTCTCAGTCAACCGTTTCCGTCTGCAGGTTGTCTGGAAATCGCCGAGGGCTTTCGTTCGCAAGAGATCGACGGACAGGCACTTCTCCTGCTGAAGGAGGACCATCTCGTGGGGGCCATGAACATCAAACTGGGCCCCGCGCTTAAAATCGCTGCCCAAATTGGAATGCTCAAAGACTTGTAGCTCATCTGTCACGCACATTTTATATTTTACCCTTTGGTGCAGGCAGTCCGAGTCTGAAATGTTTCATGCCACGTGTTGTAATTCTGTATGTGGTTCCCTTCAAGAAATCCTCTTTGTGTCACAGCAGTTCAAAGGTTAGTCTGTCACTTTTATTTGCTCTCAACAGTTTTGAGCCAATCATCATAAAACAAAATGTTTGTTAGAGAAGCAATAGCTTGTGTTGATCAGTTTCAGAGCGCTGTAGTGTCGTCTTTTACACAACACAGCCGTCATTAGCGAAGTGATGTCATTCCTGTAAATCCAGTTATTTGTTGTACGCTTTCAGAAATATCTTTTTTAATGTTTGTTAGGGCTTTGGCTCCAATTTGACATGAGCGAATTAAATACATTGTAAATATTCATACGGCAATCTGGGATTTAAATTTGTCACATTTCATTGAATTGATTCTAAAATCACATTTGGAACATTTTATTAAAAAGAATATTTTTTTCATTTTGGCTGCAAATTTCTGTGTTGTTGTCATCCGCATTTTCCTATGGTGGTTTTCTGGACCAAAGGAAAGAAACCAAGCCAACCACGTCATTTCTTAATTTAATTGAATGATTCCTTGTAAAACATCAACACACAGCAAAGAAAGAAATCCAGAGACATGTGGCAAAGTGTCAGCAGGCGCTCAGCAATTCAGAGGATGTGTGTAACTTGGAACCAGTTGACATTGACAAACATTAACCTACACATATGACATCGCCTACTCCACGCAGTTACCTCGGTCAAATGAATGCTCCCCAGTTGGCTTTCATTTGTTGGCATATCAACAAACAAGGACACTATCCGACCCTATTGCAAGACCATTTAAAGCACTTCATTTGAACAATGATAGAAATTGATTGTTTGTTCATATGGATGGTTGATGTATTTATTAATGAAGGTTTATTGAGTTAGATCATCTTGACTGCACAAGTTTATTGGAATCCTACTACTCAGGATCTTGCTGAGAACAAAAAATAATTGTATTTTGGCTTTGACTTCAGTACACCGATATTAAGCCCGCATACTAACACTCCCAGGACTTCCTTTTCTAGAATGCTGCTTTTTTTTTAGCTGCAGATACTGACCGGTTTGTTTCGACAACTGATACCAGCTAGTTTGGGCTCACTGCTGTTCTCATCTTTTGAATGCAATGGGCATTTTTGTTCAACAATTTGCATGCTACAAGTACACCAACTATGATTTCCACAACGCATCACATGCAAATTCAGAAAACATTGATTGGCCTTTTGAGAATGCACAATGGACGACCCAATTAAATACACTTTATAAAATGATTTTCTTTTGCCCATAAAATAAAATCTTTAATGCAAAAAAATATAACATTTTCTCATCCAAGACCTTGTGCTGCTAAGATCATCTTTCATTTCTATACCACAACTGCTAACTAACCAGAATGGTTAAGTTGTGCTGTGGTGGAATGAACTTCCAGGGAAGCATTTGTTACTGTCATACTGGTGATGAAACTGTGCCACATGAGAACTCAACACCTGGAAATCTGTGCAACACCCCCCAACACACACACACACACACACACACACACACACACACACACACACACACACACACACACACACTCACAAGATTAATCTTGACACATTATTGTCAAGAAAAATTTTGACTTGGCTTGTCTTTACTTGAAACAGAGCAATCGCGTTTGATTTATTGGTCAAAACTTCAGCCAAGTGTTTTTTTTTTGTTCCAAGATACAATGTAGGATGCACAAAAAGAATCGGCCTCTTCCCAATCCGTAAATCCACCCTGGAGGACACGAAAAAACAAAAAGGACTGAATGAAAACCCCCAAAACTCGAGTTTGGAGTTAAAAGACAAGGTGAGACGCAAATCAGCTTCAGTTGTTATTAATGTTCAACATATCCATATGTCAGTATTTGTCTAATGATGATTAATTGTGATTTTTGAAAGTAGCTTTTTTTTTCTTTTTTTTTTTTGCTTTCAGACATCTTCCTGCGTTCGGAAGTCAGCTGGTCACGTGACTCACCCCGCACAGGGGGAATCAAGCCAATGTTCAGACTTGTCCGGCAATAAACAAGACTGTTGGGGACCTCGGGCGCAAGGCGCTGAAGTCCCGCGGGACCCCGGCCAGTGGAACGTGGACGACGTTTATGTTTTCATCTGCTCTTTGCCAGGTGTGGGCTTGTCTTGATTGGATTGGATTGGATCAAGTAGGATCCAATCGCATCTGCTGTGTGCTTTTCCTTTCTTCGCATTTGTATTGTCCATCAGTTGTGCAAAGTAGTTTTTTTGAAGGAAAAAAAAAAAGAGTGGCAGAATAATTTGCTTGCCTTCATAGCACTCACTCACTTAAGTTTCTAAATCTGTTTTCTTGAATAGTAACTAGAAAGGAACAGAAAATGACGACTTTCTGTTGCTATATATTTATCAATACAACCTTGCAAGAGATTCTATGGAAACCAGTAATTACTTTGAAAATCAGCTTTCTTCAACTGGACAAAAAAAATAAAAAATACATTGCACTTCCAACGCCAAACAAAGCCAAATCAAACTGTCTTGCAGGAGTCAAATCATGCTTATTTGCCTCCGAAAAGGAAGAGTCTGCACTTTGTAAGGCTTTTAAGCCTGTTAGGATGCCAATGTGGTACTTACACATTTGAGCAGGAACATGCAAAGCTGCGCTTGTACCCTTCTCAGTCAACCGTTTCCGTCTGCAGGTTGTCTGGAAATCGCCGAGGGCTTTCGTTCGCAAGAGATCGACGGACAGGCACTTCTCCTGCTGAAGGAGGACCATCTCGTGGGGGCCATGAACATCAAACTGGGCCCCGCGCTTAAAATCGCTGCCCAAATTGGAATGCTCAAAGACTTGTAGCTCATCTGTCACGCACATTTTATATTTTACCCTTTGGTGCAGGCAGTCCGAGTCTGAAATGTTTCATGCCACGTGTTGTAATTCTGTATGTGGTTCCCTTCAAGAAATCCTCTTTGTGTCACAGCAGTTCAAAGGTTAGTCTGTCACTTTTATTTGCTCTCAACAGTTTTGAGCCAATCATCATAAAACAAAATGTTTGTTAGAGAAGCAATAGCTTGTGTTGATCAGTTTCAGAGCGCTGTAGTGTCGTCTTTTACACAACACAGCCGTCATTAGCGAAGTGATGTCATTCCTGTAAATCCAGTTATTTGTTGTACGCTTTCAGAAATATCTTTTTTAATGTTTGTTAGGGCTTTGGCTCCAATTTGACATGAGCGAATTAAATACATTGTAAATATTCATACGGCAATCTGGGATTTAAATTTGTCACATTTCATTGAATTGATTCTAAAATCACATTTGGAACATTTTATTAAAAAGAATATTTTTTTCATTTTGGCTGCAAATTTCTGTGTTGTTGTCATCCGCATTTTCCTATGGTGGTTTTCTGGACCAAAGGAAAGAAACCAAGCCAACCACGTCATTTCTTAATTTAATTGAATGATTCCTTGTAAAACATCAACACACAGCAAAGAAAGAAATCCAGAGACATGTGGCAAAGTGTCAGCAGGCGCTCAGCAATTCAGAGGATGTGTGTAACTTGGAACCAGTTGACATTGACAAACATTAACCTACACATATGACATCGCCTACTCCACGCAGTTACCTCGGTCAAATGAATGCTCCCCAGTTGGCTTTCATTTGTTGGCATATCAACAAACAAGGACACTATCCGACCCTATTGCAAGACCATTTAAAGCACTTCATTTGAACAATGATAGAAATTGATTGTTTGTTCATATGGATGGTTGATGTATTTATTAATGAAGGTTTATTGAGTTAGATCATCTTGACTGCACAAGTTTATTGGAATCCTACTACTCAGGATCTTGCTGAGAACAAAAAATAATTGTATTTTGGCTTTGACTTCAGTACACCGATATTAAGCCCGCATACTAACACTCCCAGGACTTCCTTTTCTAGAATGCTGCTTTTTTTTTAGCTGCAGATACTGACCGGTTTGTTTCGACAACTGATACCAGCTAGTTTGGGCTCACTGCTGTTCTCATCTTTTGAATGCAATGGGCATTTTTGTTCAACAATTTGCATGCTACAAGTACACCAACTATGATTTCCACAACGCATCACATGCAAATTCAGAAAACATTGATTGGCCTTTTGAGAATGCACAATGGACGACCCAATTAAATACACTTTATAAAATGATTTTCTTTTGCCCATAAAATAAAATCTTTAATGCAAAAAAATATAACATTTTCTCATCCAAGACCTTGTGCTGCTAAGATCATCTTTCATTTCTATACCACAACTGCTAACTAACCAGAATGGTTAAGTTGTGCTGTGGTGGAATGAACTTCCAGGGAAGCATTTGTTACTGTCATACTGGTGATGAATGTGTGCCACATGAGAACTCAACACCTGGAAATCTGTGCAACACCCCCCAACACACACACACACACACACACACACACACACACACACACACACACACACACACACACACACACACACAAGATCAATTTGCAATCATTAATCTCGCAGTTCTGTGCTATCATACCTTGCTCCTGAAGAGGGGCTTGGCACCGGGGCCACAGTACTCATTGTAAATGAGCTTGAAGAGGAAAAGGTGAAAGAGTGTGATGAGCGAGGCCACGCTGAACCAGAAGAGGAAGGGCAGGCCCGGGTACCTGTTGGCCATGTGTTCCTCGTGGTCCAGGATGGCCTTGAGGTGCAGCGTGTGGCGCAGGTCCTGCAGGTGGCGCAGGTCGGTGGAAATGTAAAGCATCGGGGTGATGGGCTGGGTCACCATGACCGGGAAGGTATGACCTTTGACCTCTGACGTCAACTCCACGGGCTCGTTGAGGCAGCCGGCCTCGCACGCGTACAGCTTGACGGGCTTCTCCTGCGGCTTGACGGACACGTGGAGGAAAGGCTTGCCCTCGGCATCAAGCAGCACCGCCAGGTTGATGACGTCCTGGTTGTAGTGGATCCCCCTCAGGGCGTAGCTGTTGTGCAGCACGTCCGGGTCGGCCAGGAACTGGAGGTGGTTCTCGGTAAACTGGAGTCCGCCGAAGCTGAGCGCCATGCCCTGCATGGCTCCGTGGGCGCCGGCCGCTACCAGCACCTTGCAGCCTCTCTTCTGGAGAGTCAGGGTCCAAAGCGTGACCAGCTGCAGTATCTGCGCCGTACTGCTCACCCTTTCGGGCCACAGGTTCTCGGCGTGCATGGTGGCATGGCCGCTGAAGCAGTGGTCGGCGTAGTTGAGGCTGGACTCTAGGCGGGCGCGCTCTTCACCACTCAGCCTACGCTCCAACAAGGGAGCCGTCGTGGAGGACAGGATGTAGTAGAGGGTGGCATTCACCGTGCGGCTCGATGGCGTGTGCGAGTCCGTGATCTTTCTCATCTCGACGCCTACACAAAGAAGCACAATAGGGAGTTTACCAGATGCGGCATTTGTCAACGGTAAGTTCCGGAATAGACCACAATGCTTTCTAAGAAAAGCATGTTTCAGAATGGAAATAATTACTTGGATAGTTTATGGCAGTCCAACGTGTCACGTGGCACAAGTTGATGCTTTTAATTTACTTTTTGGCCTTGAAGTGTTTTTCATACAAATACTTACTGTAATTATGACTTTTCTTCTACAGTAGCGTAGGTTAGTGGCAGACATCTTCCAACTTGCAAACAAATTCACTGTCATACTGACTAACTAATCAATTTGACTGTTATCCGCACACAATGGCTCAACTCATCTTTTTATACACTGCGCTTTCACAACAGCTGCAGCTTTAACACGCCAAGATGTGTTGCTCTGATTGCAGTAACATGTTCAGTGACACATATTTACTTTTGAGAGATGTATGAAAGATTTTGAGAAAGAAAATGGCTTTTGCAAGGAAATCGTGACGTTTTGCAGTTTGTACAAATTATTTTGAGAAATGCACTGACTGTTTTGCAAATTTCAATTCTGATCTGAGAACTGTACCATAGCGACCGAGAAAAAAATTAAGACGACATTGCCGCACCCAACTTTTTCTTTAACCATTGAACCATCCATCCATCATCTAAACCGCTTTAACCTAATGAGGGTCGCGGGGATTGAGAAAAGAGTACACATTTACTCTGTTATCAATTGTAATGTTCTTCCTCTTCATTCTACTTGCGTAATAATAGTTCATGGCAATGTGACCAGCTAATGTCCTGGGAACGTAGGTGGCATTTGTGTACATGACCAGGTCAGGATAATTGGGTACACGACGGATAGGGAGTAAAGCCAGGACAAAGGGAGACAGATGTGGTCAGAGAAAAAAGGTTTATCAAAATAGAACAAACAATTACAGATTTTATTCTCCATGTTTCTATGTTATCGTGTATTGACTATGATGTTGTAATCACATAAATCAATAAAAGCTCAGGTCCGGGGTGAGATTACAGAGATCTGAACCAGCTCACTGATGGTCTCATCTTTCCTGGCCAGAATTTTGCCTGGGGGTGTTTGTGCCCTTTGTCTCAGAACTTTCTACTTGTCGTGGTGAGCCTCATTCCAGAACAAAGGCGTAGTTCTCCCCTGACAGGTGTGCTGGAGCCTATGCCAGCTGACAATAGACGGGGTACACCCTGAACTGGTTGCCAGCCAATCGCAGGGCACACAGAGACAAACATTCACACTCACAATTACACCTAAAGACAATTTAGAGAAAACAACTAACCTACAGTGCAATTTTTTGGCATGTGGGAAGAAACCGGAGTAGCCGGAGAAAACCCACGCAGGCACAGGGAGAACATGCAAACTCCACACAGGAAGGCTGGGGCCAGAATCGAACCGTGGACCTCTGCACTGTGATGTGGACGTGCTAACCACTTGCCTACTTTTTCTTAATGTACCTTGCAACTGACTGGTGACCATTTGGCTAAATACAGAGTTGTGATGTGACTAAATCAGCAGAAAGTGCTTGAAAGGGGCTACCTGAAATGAAGAGGTCCATCCAGGCCTGCTGGTGATCTATGACCAGATCGTCCACACTGGACCTCAACAGCTCTCCCAGCTCTTTCTTGGCTCCATCCCGAAGGCTAGCAAATGTCTCCTCCAGCTTGGACGGCTCAATGGGCTCCGAAGTTCTCACAACAGACAGGATATTTTCAGTGTATTCAGATTTCTGAAAAACCTGGAATCTGCTGATCTTTTTCGTGACTACCACCACCACCATCAATCGGTTCTTCTCTAAAGGGACTCTGCCTGATGAAAGCACTATTGCTCTGTCCTCTACCTTGTCCATGCTGGTGGAGAACTTGCCACCAGAGTTGACATCGTTGTAGGAGATCTCAAAGGTGGCTAATTTGTCGGAAGGGTTGTTGACGTGGATTCTCTGAAGATAGACATTGTGTCGACTCCTGTGGGCGAGAAACTCCTCTCTGATGGTGATGCAGTCCCGGGAAGACTGCGCGGCCACAGGTGAGGCGCATCGAACTGACAGCACAGATCCTTTTCGGAACCACATCATGGCTGCCCGCACTTCAGCCTGCTTCCCTTCGAGACGGATGTCCACAATGGGAGAATATTCTGTCTGATGGACTGGAGCCGAACCAGGCTGTGAAGACGACGCCACCCAGAGTTTGTTCGAGTCCGTGTCAATGAGGATATGACCGTTACCTGATACAAAGGGTGTGTCAAGTTTTTCCTGAGATGTGCTGTACAAACCCTCCCCACGGTCCACAAGAGACTTCCATCTATGGATTTCCGCCTGAAGACACTGTCCAACCACCCCACCCGGCACACCCGAGCCACTAAAGATCGTCCACTTGCGCTCTGCTCCAAGATACCAGTAGAAAATGAGGAAGATCAGCAGTCCGATGAGAAGTCTTCTTGCCCAGCTGCTTGATAGCAAGCCGGGTAGCCCCTTCAGCCGTTGCTGGAGCCACATTGTTTTCTTTAAATGTACTAACAGTCCGAATAGGTGAGCGTCAAAGTTTATCTAGTTACAAAGTCGCTGGCCAATAACATGTTTCCAAGTAGCTTCGCTAGCGACAGGCTACATTAGCCCGTCTACGTAGCTTGAAGTTTGAAAGAAAGCTGCAAAAAATGCCACGCTGCGCTTGCTTTCATACTCGTCACAAAAGGTAGTCTGACACTCACCAATGTTTCACTTGTCAAGTCACATGACGTTACGTTTGATTTGACATTTCAAACATGTAATTATTGAGAAACGGTCGCCAGCAGGGGTAACACTTCCGCCTTTTCGAACCGTCGCAAAGGCACAAATCGTAAAGAGGACAAGAAAGGCGTAATTATTGTCGTTGAAGGAGCGCAAGAGGGTAAATAGTAAACATTGCCATCTAGCGTGTCGGGTGATGTAGTGTTAACTTCGAATGTCGTTTTCTGTCCAAATAAAACTACATTATCAATTTGGTCAAGAATAAGAATGTATCTGTACCAAAACAGCAATATAATCTTGTTGTTAAAATATTTCATTTAGATAAAGTACCCTTTGTTAATACACTTATCGATCTTGTTTTAAAAGGACATACTGTACATACAATAATAAACAAATAATCTCTCAAATTTTAGGGGCGCTTGAACAGTGCATTTTTTTTAACCAGATATAAACAGTGGCGTTACAGTAGCTCAGTCCGTATGTACATATTGAGATCAGGGAGTTGAGGCTTAGAATCCCGCTGCAATTGTAAAAATATGGAAATTGAGACTTTGTGTTACATATGCTAGTCTGCTTCTATTAAATTGCCATTGAGCAAATCACTGAACTTCACTTTGATCACTTAACTCTGACATCTCTCCTGACCTGTACACACAGTAGATTGTCTATTTGTGTGGTGTTATGCAACATGGAATATACAGCGGAGTTAAACTAGATTTTCCCATCCATTTTCAACCACCTTTCCTGGTCAGGGTCACAAAGAAGATGGAGCCTATCCCAGCTGACTGTGGGTAAAAGGTATATCACACCCTTCAACCATTACCACTCCCATCCACACCTACAATCAGTGAGCGGAAATAGATCCCAGTCACCATGAAAGCCACGTGGACAACTACATTGACCACTGACCAGAGAGCTCAAATTGAACTGACCTTCCCACTTTAAAGACAAAAATCAGTACAGTAAACATGGATATATTAATCATCTATTCCTTGCACTCTGATTCTAACTGCAACATATTTGTGTGTGTGTGTGTGTGTGTGTGTGTGTGTGTGTGTGTGTGTGTGTGTGTGTGTGTGTGTGTGTGTGTGTGTGTGTGTGTGGACATAACATTTTAATGGATCATAAACACCTGTTGTGAATTTTGGCATTCATCTCTTTGTTAGAGAGCGGCAAAACGTGAAGCATTGAGCACTTCTATCTCAACATTAAACATTTGAGGAAGTCAAATTAAGGCACCTTAAAATGTTATTGAATATGAAGCATTTTAAAATGCCAATATTCCGAACTTCTTGTGAGTGGTGAATAGTTGATACAGAGACAAAACTATTTCAAAAGTTGAATGGCATCAGAAAGATAGGGGAAATACAAAAGAAAAAAGAAAACCTGTTTTAACCCTTAGATGCATGAGTGACTGGACCCTACAATCTTCCATAGGTGGGTGAAAAATGACCCATAATACAATCAATGCTTTTTTTCATGACATTTTTGTCATTTTGGTTAAGAATAATCACTTGTATGAAATTTAGTAACATATTTAGGACCATACAGGAATGATTTCATGTTTGAAATATCTTCATCTTTAATTTTTTAACATTTTTGAAAAATAAAAATTCCCCAGAACAGCAATATGTGAACATCCATTTTGTGTGTGTGTGTGTGTGTGTGTGCGCGTGTGTCTGTCTTTCTGTGTGTATGCATTGCCTGTTTTTGCCTTCTTGTTTCATCACTGTATGCAATTCAGACAAACTACCTGTTTCTGGCAGTGATCATTGCACACAGGTACATTGCATTTCCCACACCTATTGCTGACTTTGCGATCTTCGTTACTTGGGCAGATCTGACGCCTTTTTCTCTTTGGTTGGCCCTGTGTATTTCTTTCCTGTGTCTGGGTGGTGGCTTTTGTCACCCCGCACCTTTTCATTGCTTCAATAATCGGAATTTGCAGTTGGGTGCAGCTTTCCAGTCGACTCCTCATGTGTGGTGTGACAAGCTCCTTTGACAGCTCTTTGAGGAACAGCCGTCGTGCATTGGTGATTTGGTGATACCACTCTTGAAATCTGGGTGCTGAGCCATGAAAAAGGTGTAGGCATTTAGGGTGCTGATGTCAATTATGTTGTACCATCGCACCATGGGCCACCTCTGTGTTTGCCGCTTGCACGTGTAGTTGCCAACCATCTGGTCAATGGTGTCTACACATCCATTTGTCTCGTTGTAAAATTTGATCACTTCTATTTTTTTCTTTTTGCTATGTTCATCCTCTGCTTTGTCGTGGTGCATCGTGCTCAGGAGCACAACAGCTTTTCCTTTCTTTCTGACATAGCTGACCATGGTAAGGCTGTCGTTGAATCCAAACTCTGTGCTGTAAACCTCCCTGGACTTGGAAGGCTTCATCAGAGGAGGGATGTCTGGCTTGTTCTGACGTAGAGTCCCCACAATAGTGAGCTCCTTCTCCAGGAGATGCTGCGCGAGTGGCACACTGGTGAAAAAGTTATCCATGGTGATGTTGCGACCGGTGTTTCTAAAGCTACCACACAACTGCTGGACAATGTTTTCGCCCAGATTCTTCTGAACGTCTTCTTCCGGTTGTCTCCCCGTGTAACCTATACCATCTATTGCATAGAGGATGCGTGCATCACAAACCCAGAATATCTTTAGGCCGTACTTGGCAGGCTTGCTTGGCATGTACTGTAGAAACTTGCACCTACCCCTGAATGGCACAAGCTGTTCGTCCACAGTGACACAATCACTGGGGATGAATCGCTCTCTGCAGTTGACCAGGAAAAGGTCCCATACATAGCAGAAGGCTGCCATGTGATCTGTTTCCAGTCGGAAGGCCAATTTGTAGATAAATAATAGTCATGAACGACACACAAACAATTTTATATGAAGATAATACTTACATGTATCAGCTCTTACAGTGTAAAATAATCTTCCTGAGGGGTGACACTTCTGATATTATAGTCTGCGTGGTCCGCAGTCAATGTATTGCTGACAGCCAAAGTCGATTAGAATCAGTGGTTCCCATTGGATTCCATAGAAAATGTACACGGGTCACTTTTGACCCATTTATGAAAACTTGGGGTAGCAATACAAAAACTGAAATTTCTTAAAATGTATAAAATGTAAGTTAAAATTGTAAATGACATTATATAAAAAACATGTTTTTTGAGGAATACCTGGAATATGAAATGATAATAAATTTTCAGTCCGAAGATATTTCAAGAAAAAAACCTCACCAGGTCATTTTAGACCCACATATGCATCTAAGGGTTAAATTATCTCATTGACTGTTATGGAGGCCAGTTCGCTGGATCAATTTGGGTGTGTACGCGGCACAGGATGGTGTATCGGCTAGAATACATTTCAAAATCAGAAAATGGATTCTTGTGGCGGGCAGCCCGGTGGTTGACTGGTCGGACTCACAGTGGAGAATGTTACAGCTGAAGCTGTTGTGAAAGCGCTATATAAATCAGAATCAGGAAATCAGGAGAGGTGCAGGGTTCTATTCCGGCTCCGACCTCGCTGTGTGGAGTTTACATGTTCTCCGTCTGCCTACATGGGTTTTCTCCGGGTACTCCGATTTCCTCCCACATTCCAAAAACTTGCACCATAGGTTACTTGTTTACTCTAATTGTCCTTAGGTGTAATTGTGAGTGGCGTCCCGGTAGTCAAGTGGTTAGCACATTGACTTCACAGTGCAGAGATACCAGGTTCAATTCCAGCTCCGGCCTTCCTGAGTGGAGTTTGCATGTTCTCGCTGTGCTTGCGTGGGTTTTCTCTGGGTCCTCCGGTTTCCTCCCATATTCCAAAAAAATGCATGGCAGACTGATTGAACACTCCAAATTGTCTCTAGGTGTGAGTGTGAGCACGAATGGTTGTTCGTTTCTGTGTGCCCTGCGATTGGCTGGCAACCGATTCAGGGTGTCCCCCGCCTACTGCCAGAAGACAGCTGAGATAGGCTCCAGCACCCCCCGCCCCTCCCGCGACCCTAGCGAGGATCAAGCGGTTCGGAAAAGGAATGAATGAATGAATGTAATTGTGAGTGCGAATGGTTGTTTGTCCATGTGTGCCCTGTGATTGTCTGGCAACCGGTTCAGGGTGGCCCCCAGGGTGCCCCCACCACTGCCGGAGGACAGCTGGGATAGGCTCCAGCACGGGCCGAGATGGATGGATGGATGGATTCTTGTGGCATGAAACAATTCTGACATTTGAGCATATTTTTTCCGGGCAGGTGGAAGGAATGCAGGGAACCCTGTGACGAGCCAGCCCACGCTCGGCCTCTCCGTGCAGAAACTCACGTCCACGGGACAGCTGGGCTGACTGTCGATTATACACTGAGGTTGAATCAAATCACAGATTGTTTATTTAGCATGCCTGTGTAGAATCTCAGACATCCCTTAGGTCATGGTGATCCACGAAGCATGAAGCTCTGATTTGCACTTGTTTGTTCTCAAACATTTGCGGACGAAGTGAGAGAAAGAGTAACAGAGAGGGGGGGAGAGCGAGAGAGAGAGAGAGAGAGAGAGAGAGAGAGAGAGAGAGAGAGAGAGGGAGAGAGAGAGAAAGACAGTGTGAGAGACAGAGAGAGAGAGAGACAGAGAGAGAGAGAGAGAGAGAGAGAGAGAGAGAGAGAGAGAGAGAGAGAGAGAGAGGTGGGGTGGTTACATAGCCGGGTCAGCGGGGAAAGTGATTCCGACTCAGTCCTTCTCCGCTCCATCCGTCTAAGCAAGCGACTGATTTGACCATGAAACTTTCGTTGGTGTTGTTCTCCGTCCTTATCTGCACACTCTTTCCTCTGCGCGACTGCGACGAGCAGCAGCAAGTCCGAGAAGGTAAGACAGAAAGCGGTGCTTGGCAGCTGGGTTGCTCGTGTTAGTTACACTTTTATAAGTGGCAAATGGCGTCACGCGTGAAGCCACACGTCAGATTCAATAGGCGATACAGGATACTATTCAGACATAATAAATGTTATCTCCTTCCTCGTGGTACTCGTGTTAATTTCGTCGTGATGCAGAGAAATCTAACATTTTGTTGATTTAATATCCTTGGCCAGGTGAAAAAACAGTTGAGAGCAAATGAGGGAATTTTGTATGTTTGCGGGGACCCCCGTTTAAATAAAAAGTTGCTGGGTTTTCCACCGTGCCGCTGACGTGGACGGGGCTGTTCTTGTTTGTTTCCGCCTCACTTTCCCATGGGATGGAACTTTTAGCGTGGAGAGGAACAGCCGGTGGAAGCTAATCATGAATTACACGAAAATAAGCACGGTCCCTGGAATCGAGACATCGTTCCTTCGACAGGGGCTGCAGAATGTTCGAGATTCACAACTACAAAAAACTTGAACGTCTTGCGTGAAGTTTTAAACCATAGCTGGGTCGCTCAATCCAGATGCAATTCGAAGTATTCGACCCCCACTGTAGATTACATTTCTGTGCAAAAAAAAATTTACAAACTTGTGACAATCTACAACGCTTAAGTTAGTGTAAAAAAAGCTTCACGTCACCTAATGTAAAACTGCATTTAATCAGCACCAAAATTTGTTTGGACATCGTTACCCGTGCTCACTTTAACCTCTAAAAACATCAGAACAATTGTCCCAATATTTTGGATTTTATGGACGTTAAATCTTTTCTTAGACGCTGAATATAAAGCAGGAGTCACCAACACATACCAGGTGGCCCCCACAGGACTACTGGAGTAGCCTGCAAGCTTGTTCTGAAAATAGCAATACGGTTATGGAAGACTGACATCTTTGGAAATGTTGTAGAAGAGATCATTTGAAAATGTAAACACTTGCAGGGATTTATAGAAATAGGACTATTATAGTTGTTTGCATGGATATTGTTCTGGAAGATTCTACAGTGGCCATTACAGTAGCCTAATTTGAACAGCATAGAAAGAAATCTGCTGGGATATGACCATTGACCACACAATACATGCATAAGTTCCAGTTGAGGAACCAAAGGCTGGTGTCGAACATGCAGCAATCATACTGTAACTACATTGTACAACACAGTGTTATACTAACTTCTAAAGATGCTTTTAATTAATGAGATGAATAATATTGACACTGCACCATATAGTACGGTACATTGAACGTGACGTTCTGTAAACCTCTTTATAAATGTTAGACAAAAAGCCCCCAATGAGTGTCATGGAGAGAGTATGTAGAATTTGAGTCTTCAGATGCCACGATGAATTCCTGACTTAATTCCTCTTGAATGCTGTCATCCAGATCAAATTGTCGTTGTGACCGTCGCAACTAAGGAGACTGATGGCTTCAAACGTTTCATGAGATCAGCAAAACATTTTAATTACACTGTCAAGGTAGGAAACCCTACTTTGAAGATCGTATACTGTATTACTGTATTACACATCAAAACAAATAAAATTGCTTGTCATTATTTGCGTGTTTACAGGTTCTTGGTCGTGGTCAAAAATGGAAAGGAGGTGACTACTTGTCCCCTGGGGGAGGTCAGAAAGTGCGAATTCTTAAAGCTGCCCTCGAGTCAATGAAGGACGAGAACAAAATCATTGTTTTTATTGACAGGTAATGTTTCTTTATTTTAATAATAAATATGTAATCTACAAATTTAGTAATGTCCCTCTTAACAGCTGGTGTGGAGGCAGGTCCTCCTTTTGGAAGTGAATGGAAATTTGGGTTGAATTCCAAACTGTATGACCTTGATATTCGAGTAAAGCTTCCACTGTATTCGGCATTCTGCTCTCATTGTTGTCACGGTAACCTCAGCGAAGGAGAAAATAGTGAAAACAACTTTGTTTTTTGTTTTTTGTTTTTTTTTTTTTGCATGGGTTGGAGAGTGGCTTGCACCACTGCTGTGTCAGCATCATCTTGTAAAACTTTCCTTCCTTCTACAGCTATGATGTGATTTTCGCATCAGGCCCGAAAGAGCTGCTAAAGAAGTTTGTGCAGGCCAAACACAAGGTGGTGTTTTCCTCTGAGACCTTGATCTGGCCCGACAGACACTTGGAGGACAAACATCCACATGTCCGGGAGGGCAACAGGTTCCTCGGCTCAGGAGGTATGCTGCCCATTTTTTCCATGACACATTTTGTTTTGTGTATAATCACTCATTTAGGGTTTCAGTCTGAGGTAAGATGACTGTTTTAGCAGAAGGTTACAAAAAACAGTTGTGGTGTATTCACAGCTGGAGAGTAGGGGTTTTTTGTAGAACAAAAGAGGTTTTATAAGCACAAAAAAGGAAACATGGTCGTGGTAATGAGCAACCGGTAGTTTCAAAGCTGCATGTCTGAGGCGCACAGCAAGTTAGAGCGCCTCTTAACATGAGTTTATCGCTACGTGGTAATGAGCAACCAGTAGTTTCAAAGCTGCCTGTCTGAGGCACACAGCAAGTTAGAGCGCCTCTTAACATGAGTTTATCGCTACCCCTCAGGCTTTATTGGCTACCTTCCAAACATCAAAGAAATGGTTGCTGAGTGGGCGGGAGACGACGGTGACAGTGATCAGCTGTTTTTCACCAAGATTTTTATCAATCCTGAGAAAAGAGTAAGTACTGTTTTTTTTTTCTTTTTGGGTCCTTTGTTGTTTGATATGATGACAAAAAATGTATTAATTAATGAGTAAAACATCTATGAATGTCTTTTAGAAATCCATAAATATCACACTGGACAGCAAATGCAGATTGTTCCAGAACCTTCACGGAGCTCTTGGTGAGTGAAAAGACTTTTATTGTGCAACTGTGGTCAAACCTATTTAAACCAACCGATAGTTGACATTACTGTGTGCTGCACAACACACGTGATGCACTGTGCAGTTTACTGAATACAACTGCTGTGTTAAAAATGTTAAGTGCACCTTTCCAATAACGCCTTTGCTTTTTACTGCCATTCTCAGTCGTGTCCTAGAGAATCTGACACAAACAACCCATGCATCCCTTTTTTTTTACTCTCCTTCATGCAAATACACATACAGACCATATTTTGTGTGTGTGTGTGTGTGTGTGTGTGTGTGTGTGTGTGTGTGTGTGTGTGTGTGTGTGTGTGTGTGTTACATGTAGAACAGGAGTGTCAAACTCATTTTTGTCGCGGGCCAAATTTTAGTTACCGTTTCCCCTGGAGGGCCGCTATAACTGAAACCAGATCAAGAAGTCAAGAATAACTGTTGATGCAACTCTTGTTTAAGTTACCATCACGAGAGGTTTGGTAACAAGAAAATGCTTAGAATATCTCTCTTATTTATTAGATGTGAGAATTAAAAATTTTGATAGACAATTTAGAAAGCATCATGGAACTTGAAATGTTGCATCTGGTTTCGCGGGCCACCTAAAATGATGTGGCGGGCCATATCTGGCCCCCCGGGCCTTGAGTTTGACACCAGTGATGTAGAATAAAACACTTTAAATTAGTATTAAAAGATTTACAAGGCGGAATTTGCACTTTTTGATCAACACTCTATTCATCAGTGAACGTTAAAACTGTCTGCATGACCTTAAAGTAGAACATTATGAAAATCACCTTTTCAAAAATCTACCCTCTCATCTTGTGCATCTAAGTTTTATTTTGATTATGATTTAAAAACTATCAGAGATCGTTGTGGCAAAAGATGTGACCAAAGAATCAATTGTGAACACACACACACATACACATTTCATATCTCACACACATAGTCTGCTGTGTGGGTGAGGCGGAGATGACAAAGCTCCCCATTTTCAACATCCAACTGAATCAAACTGTACTGTCTGCCACATGGAAACGGGACTTTCAACTCCCTTAACATGAACAATATAACAGTTGCCATCCAAAACACACAACGGTATATGATTAAGATTGACTTTGTTTTTTTCCAGACGAAGTGGTGCTAAAATTTGAGGATCGACGTGTCCGAGCCAGAAATTTGCTCTATGATACGCTACCTGTCATCATCCACGGGAATGGACCGACCAAGGTACCGACTACAAATCGCTACACAAGTCAGAACAATGCCATGGCACGCACGTCTAACGATTCACACAGGAAAACAGGAATTTGGTCATTGTTTAACAAACAAAAGTATAATAAAGGCGCTTCTTTTCTTCATTCCAAAAAATTATATTTATGGTACCGGTAGCACTGATTAGGTTTTTCATGTGTGTGTGGAACTATAAAACATGGTAGAGTCAAAACAAGACATAGTAGGTGTGTGTATCTCTCCAGTAAAAGATGATTTAATATATCTTAAAGTGGAATGATTGGGTTCAGTTCAATGCACTTGCATCTTTTAAATCCAAATAGATTTTCTTTTTCAAATTGTAAAGTTGTAAAGCTTCTCAAACTGCTGCTGAACTTCAGATGTGGACAGAAAAACCTTTTTGCCCTGCTCCCAATTTTGCATTGCTGACTCCAATGTCAGTTAGCGAGCCATGGGCAAGGAAATGATACACTTTTAAAAAAAAAAAACCCACAAAGCATAAACTGCCAAATGGTGATGGCCACGCATCTGTCCAAGTGATGCCTAAAATGAAATGGAAAAAATGACGTGTATCAAGACTTTTGGGACACCCTGAATGAGTGTTTTGAACATCGCACATCATGTGACAAATGTTAAACATTCAAAATAAGCATAAATTTGATCTATATGGACAATAAAACATGCCATTTATTCAGGATGAATTGTACAGAGTAGGAGTTGTGTGAGCTACAATTGGCTAACGTGTAAGAGTGCCTTAAAGAAAATCTATTTCCTTCTCTCTATGCTCCTTACAAATAGTTCAGCATCATGTTGTGCAAAGACAGGCTTCAAAGTAAAGACATTTTTACAATCCTGTTAAACTTGCAAATGTTTTTGCTCACCTTCCCAATGTGCCGAGGATTTCATCGTTACCGAATCTATTCATAAACACCATTCTCCATGAGAAAAAAAATCCTATCCATCGGTGTGATAAGAGATATGGCAAACATAGTTGAGATAAACTCAAACAAGACTTTGCTTTTTAGCTTCAGCTCAACTACCTTGGTAACTACATACCGAACGTGTGGACATTTGAGACGGGCTGCACAGTGTGCCATGATGATCTACTCCCACTCAGGAACCTTAAGGTTGGTCACAGGTTTTTGGCCGTCATATGAACTGAAAGGCAACATTGTCCATTTTACCAACAAAATCTTGATATTATTAAAACGTTCAATGCTTTTGCCTTGCACTCAATTTATTTTTTTTCGCACCATTAGGAAAATGAATATCCTTTGGTGGTGATTGGTGTCTTCATTCAGCAGCCCACTCCATTTGTCACCGTGTTTTTTGAACGCCTCCTGAAGCTTCAGTATCCCAAGAATAGACTCAAGCTCTTCATTTTCAACAAGGTAACAGGACACAAATTAGTCCACCAATTTGACTTTGTGACTTTGCTGCAGAGGAATATTGGTCACAGTTGCGCTGATAAATAGCCTCATGAATCTTTGAAAACTTCTGGAAATCTTCCGGGCGGCACAGTGGTCGACTGATTAGCACGTCTGCCTCACAATACAGAGGTCCAGGGTTTGAATCCGGGCTCCAACCTTCCTGTGTGGAGTTTGCATGTTCTCCTCATGCCTGTGTGGGTTTTCTTCGGGTACTCAGTTTTCCTCCCACACTCCAAAAACATGCATGGCAGGTCGTTTGGGAAATTCAAATTGTCCATAGGTGTGACTGTTAGCAGGGATGGTTGTTCATCTATGTGTGCCCTGCGATTGGCTGGCAACCAGTTCAGGGTGTTCCCTGCCTACTGCCCAAAGACAGCTGCAATAGGCTCCAGCGCACACGCGACACTTGGGAGGATAAGCGGATTAGAAAATGGATGGATGGATGGATGCGTGGAAATCTGACATGAGAATAAAGCTCTGGCTGTATGTGAATCCAAACTCCCAGAATGATGTTTTCCGGATATTCACTTGTATTTTTAGATCTAGGTGTCAGAATGTATTACGCACTTCGAACCAGATTATAGGTAAAATCTGGGAATCTTCTGATCATTACAGTGCTACCAAATTTTGGAAAGTATTTCCAGATACATGTCCTAAATAGAAGTCAGAACTTTGTTAAACCAACTTTCTATTCATTTTACCATTTGTAAAGCAACCTAGTTGCTCAAGTATTTTCATTCAGCAATCAATTTTGGTTTGCTACACAATGCATTTTGGGAGGATTATCATCACACGTTCAAAAGGAAAAAAGTGAATAATCTTTTGCATCTTTTCCATTCCAAATCCTAATGCACATTTTTTTTCCTCCTGCTCTATACTTCTACAAACGGTCAAATTTTTTTTTTCTGCTCGAGGAACCCCATCACGAGCGTGAGGTCAGCGCTTTTGTCCAGGACCACGGAAGCCTCTATCTAGATGTCAAATTTGTTGGGCCCGAAGAGGAGATAGAAGACACAGCTGCACGCACCATGGCCTTGTGAGTCACCAAGTCCCATTAACACTGGTCAACAGCTACAGTAATTTTAATCATCGATGGATTTATTTGTCCCAAACTGGAGTTTTGATTTTAAAAAATGTCTTATTTTTTTTCTAGTACATCAGGGTTTTGAGATATTTCAAATTTTTTGTTTTTAAGTCTGACTTATAAAAGGTTACGCAAATGGATTTTACCAATGCATTGTCATTTATAGCCATGACGTTTCAGAAAAAATCCACCTGTTGCTGAACCTAACCCTTAATTCATGAATATTACGGAATATATTGCTTTATTACATAGTACATTATTATTATTGTTATTATTATTATTATTATTATTATTATTATGAAAATAGGTTGGGTTAGAGAAAAAAGGAGGGCAGATTCAGGATCTGTGCAAAAAAATAATGTCCAAGGCTAATGAGTCTACTTGCATCACCACTTTTTTAAAAAATGTGAAAAATTGTTTACCTGTGTAATTATTGCTGGTGTATGGAAAGTGACGTGGGGAATTATTATTTTTTCATTCTCTGTATTTCAGCGATATGTGCAGGAAGCAGAAGGACTGTGACTATTTCTTCAACTTGGACGTTGACGTTGCTTTGAAGAATGAAAACACACTCAAAATTCTCATTGAACAAAACCTGCAAGTATATTTATGGAAAAATTAATCATGATCACCAAACTACACATGCAATATTTTTAATGGTTATATATTTAGTTGGAGTTGTGGTTGAGGATGACTTTGTTATTATAACACTACTTCAAATGCTCTTCAGGCCGATCGTAGCACCATTGTTGACGCGAACTGGCCGACTTTGGAGCAACTTTTGGGGAGCCCTGAGCGCCGATGGCTACTATGCCAGGGCTGAGGACTACGTGGATCTGGTCCAAGGACGCAGGGTGTAAGATGCTTCAATGTTGATGAAGTTCACTTGTCTGTTGATAAACTCGGTATGTGCTGTAAATGGATTAAGGCGCTCATATTTGCAGGGGAATTTGGAACGTTCCATACATAACCAGCGTGTACTTGATGAAGGCCAGCCTCCTCCGCTCGGAGCTCTCAGACGATGATCTATTTCATTCAAATTTCATGGACCCTGACATGGCCTTCTGCCAGCATGTTCGAAATAAGGTGCATCAAATAAATAAAGAACAATATTTAGCTCCCTGAAATATGTTTTATCCTTTTCTCTGTCCTGGTATTAATATAAAGAAATCGATCAAAATTGAAAATCAAATATTTGTGAATAATCCAAGATTTTATTTCAAGGTCACAGCCCTGGCATCCAGATGAAATGCATTTGGAACATAAATTGCCTTGCCTTTTTTTCCTCAGGGAGTCTTTATGTATGTAACCAACATGGACACTTTTGGACGCATCCTATCAACCGAAAACTATCAGACCAGTCATCTGCATAATGATCTGTGGCAGATCTTTGAAAATCCAGAGGTGAGAATCCATCAGCAGGTCCCGATGGGAGTACGCTGTCCAGTTTTATACCTTTGGAAACGAGTTTTTGTCTGTGTTTGATTGTGTATTGGCAGGGAAAAAAAATCATAATAGATACCTATAAATCTTTGTGGCGGTATGTAGTATGAAACATTCAAATATGCAGAGTTAAAGGTTACATATGTTTGAAACTATTTCATACTTGTCCACCCCAAAACAATTGTACAAGATGAAAGTGTGGCAGTATTATCCCTTTTTTTTTCTTTTTTTTTTTTTTTTTACAGTGATCCAATTGTTTAGTGGCCTGAAAACAATGCGTTGTGTTTATTTCAGGACTGGCGGGAGCGCTATATTCATGAGAACTACACTCACATCATGAAAGGAAAACCTGTTGAGACTGTGAGTTGTTAACAGACAGTAGCCTTCTTAGTTCCTTTTTCCTCTGTGTTTAAAAATCTCCACGTCTTTGTTATTGCGAGAAAAAAAAGTTCCTGTTTTTGTTTAATTAATATTAGGATGGTTCAGACAATCAATGTGCCTTTTTCCAATGTTGTAAAACCTGGCCATGCAATTCCTTCAGTGGCTTAGCTTTGCTTTGTCCTTTCTGTTCCCCAGCCTTGCCCAGATGTATACTGGTTTCCAGTTTTCACCGATATTGCTTGCAACCACCTGGTTGAAGAAATGGAACACTTTGGGAAGTGGTCAGGAGGCGGTAATGTGGTAATGTCACCATCCTTTTTCTGCTGTGTCCAATAACTGAATCTCTAACCTTTGTTGTCGTCATGGCTGCTGAAAGAATGCATTTTGCTCTCGCTCTCTAATGAGCCAGTCGTCAATTGTAACTGGGCATATAACTAACGAGTAACCTTTTCCTCTCTGATTATTTATGGACTGCCAGGACACTCGAATCCAAGGCGGCTATGAGAATGTCCCCACCATTGACATCCACATGAATCAAGTCAACTTTGATAAGGAATGGCACCAGTTTTTACTGGAGTACATTGCGCCGATAACAGAGCAAATGTATCCTGGTTACCATACCCAGGTAAGACCTCAGACATTTATGTGGAATAAAAGAAGTGTTCAGTTCTACATGTGAGCTACAGCAGGAGCCGTGCGACCACAAACCCAGGAAATTGGATTTTTGGTGAGGTTGCTCTTTGCATTCTAAAATATTACATTCCATTTGCAGGGGTCTTAAGACTAGCTTCAGGATATGAATGGCAAGCTGTGCTGAAGCTATTGTGATCACTGGTAGCCTATACAGTAACACCCACCCTCTCCAGTGGCGGCGGGGGGGGGGTATATTCCAGACCACCCCCACAATAAGTTAAATCCATGATAGACAAATCCCCTATTAAAATACCCCCTGGGCCTGTTTTATACATTAAGAGCTCATTTTAAAGGTCTTCAAACAACTTCCATCAATAATCATTCCGAAAGTACCGGTACTTTGTAGATACATAATTAACCTATAGTCATCGCTTTCTGACGGTCTAAAAGGCAGGATTACAGCAGGTCACATTCAATCATTTTTTTTCAATAATATTTTGTTATTCATGCATTCAAGAGACCCAACATCATTCACCCTGACCAGGATTTGATTCCCAAGGCCTGGTGTCCGAAGTCAGGGGTACTACCCATCCAGCCACCAACTTTTAACAAAAAAATTGTCTGTGCTGAATGTTTGTGCTTCCTGTTGGTTCTTTCCAATTTACACATTCTCTAACAAAAAAAAAAAAAACTGTACCACTTTCTAGTGGTTGATAGTGGAATTACATGCACCTGATTTAAACGAAAGTTACACCACCGTAAAGTTATTACTTGTACAAGAAAAATCCGTGACATAGCAGGAAGACAAACCTGGACCCCGAAATGGATTCACTGTTAATTTTCATAAAAGCAGCTGCGTCACCTGTTGCAAGCCAATCGGTTCCCTCCACTTTACTGCTGTGTTGACAAAACATGTCTCCTTCCAGTGCACTTCTCCCTTGAACTTCGTGGTGAGGTACAAACCCGACGAGCAGCCCCTGCTCGAGCCTCACCATGACGCCTCCACATTCACTATAAACGTTGCTCTCAACAGCAAAGATGTTGACTATCAGGTAAACGGAGGAGGAGGTGGCAGCCTTTAGAAGCCTCAGCAAGTGACGATGCGGGTGATGTTGCACCACTTTCCGCTTCCTCTCCTCCATCTGTGGGCCTGAATGCTGGATGTGGAAGCAGCCTTGAAGCTTGTCTTTATCGAGCAAGAATTGCGCCAGCGTACATACGCCCGACACACTCTCCTGGTGTGGCCACTCGAGCAGTTTCTATGTGAATGCTTGCATGACCTTCCTCCTTTCTTATGTGTGTTTGCAGGCTCATTTTGACTTGGCCTTTGTAGTTAGATATAAGCCCGATGAGCAGCCCTTTTTGAGGCCACATCATGACGCCTCCACATTCACTATAAACATAGCACTCAATCAGAGGGGGCCTGATTACGAGGTGAGTGGCATCGGAGGTTGGTACAAATCGGACATTTTGATAAATTATGGAGAAAATGTCCCAGAACATCGAACGAAAAAAAATCTGTCATTATATCTATGGGGGGGGGGGGGGGGGTATATTCCAGACCACCCCCACAATAAGTTAAATCCATGATAGACAAATCCCCTATTAAAATACCCCCTGGGCCTGTTTTATACATTAAGAGCTCATTTTAAAGGTCTTCAAACAACTTCCATCAATAATCATTCCGAAAGTACCGGTACTTTGTAGATACATAATTAACCTATAGTCATCGCTTTCTGACGGTCTAAAAGGCAGGATTACAGCAGGTCACATTCAATCATTTTTTTTCAATAATATTTTGTTATTCATGCATTCAAGAGACCCAACATCATTCACCCTGACCAGGATTTGATTCCCAAGGCCTGGTGTCCGAAGTCAGGGGTACTACCCATCCAGCCACCAACTTTTAACAAAAAAATTGTCTGTGCTGAATGTTTGTGCTTCCTGTTGGTTCTTTCCAATTTACACATTCTCTAACAAAAAAAAAAAAAACTGTACCACTTTCTAGTGGTTGATAGTGGAATTACATGCACCTGATTTAAACGAAAGTTACACCACCGTAAAGTTATTACTTGTACAAGAAAAATCCGTGACATAGCAGGAAGACAAACCTGGACCCCGAAATGGATTCACTGTTAATTTTCATAAAAGCAGCTGCGTCACCTGTTGCAAGCCAATCGGTTCCCTCCACTTTACTGCTGTGTTGACAAAACATGTCTCCTTCCAGTGCACTTCTCCCTTGAACTTCGTGGTGAGGTACAAACCCGACGAGCAGCCCCTGCTCGAGCCTCACCATGACGCCTCCACATTCACTATAAACGTTGCTCTCAACAGCAAAGATGTTGACTATCAGGTAAACGGAGGAGGAGGTGGCAGCCTTTAGAAGCCTCAGCAAGTGACGATGCGGGTGATGTTGCACCACTTTCCGCTTCCTCTCCTCCATCTGTGGGCCTGAATGCTGGATGTGGAAGCAGCCTTGAAGCTTGTCTTTATCGAGCAAGAATTGCGCCAGCGTACATACGCCCGACACACTCTCCTGGTGTGGCCACTCGAGCAGTTTCTATGTGAATGCTTGCATGACCTTCCTCCTTTCTTATGTGTGTTTGCAGGCTCATTTTGACTTGGCCTTTGTAGTTAGATATAAGCCCGATGAGCAGCCCTTTTTGAGGCCACATCATGACGCCTCCACATTCACTATAAACATAGCACTCAATCAGAGGGGGCCTGATTACGAGGTGAGTGGCATCGGAGGTTGGTACAAATCGGACATTTTGATAAATTATGGAGAAAATGTCCCAGAACATCGAACGAAAAAAAATCTGTCATTATATCTATAAGATGGAAGGGAAAAAAAATACTAAAATAAGAATATTCATTATGTATTGATTGAATGGGAGCCATACAATTATTTTTTGCCCAGGGTCCCTCAAGAGCACAAATAATAAATAAATTCGTACTTCACTCTACAGCAGGCTTTCCTTGCCTCATCTTTTAAATGAGAAGGCAAGTCAAATTTTTCTTTACAATATGTTCTATGTGCCCCTACAAGTCTAAATGCGGCATTGTGATTAATATTGTTTTTGTGGAATATGAATTAAGCAAAAATATCTCCCCCTTTTTTTTATCCATGTCAGAGGCTGCCATTTTGTCTTGTACTGCCTCTTGCAATAGACTGAACATGACGACATCACAGTGTCCAAAGGTTCAGATAAATAACAAATCATGGCTCGCCTGTTTTCTGGGTTTGGTCATGTGACATTGGCAAGGTGAGTTCTTTGGCACTGTGATGTCATTTTCAGTCAACAGCAAGTGGCAAAATGGCTGCCCCCTGAGATGGAGACAAGAAAGGATGGGTTTTAGTGCTTGATTCATATTTCACAAATGCAATATTAAGCAGAATACCATCTTTAGACGAGTGGGGACACGTAGAACATCCTATCTTAAAGAAAATTATTGACTTCACTTTGACCCGTTTCAAAATAAAAGGCAAAACCAAGGGATTTTGGGTAATCAGTGTGACAAAAATCATCAGAACGCACTCTCAAGATTGAATGAAATGAAAACACACCTCCTAAATACAGAGAACGAAAAAAATGTCATTCATTTTAATCTCGCTTTCATTTTCACATGACAAATGAATGTCAGACAACAAATTTATAGATGTAATAAATATAGGAGACTTGGGAATGCCTGCTGTAGGGTAGTACCTAGTTAGTACAGTCACCCAAGACTGTCTTCATGAAAAGAGGATCACCATTCTTTGGCTAGCATGTCAATCTACATTCCTGGTGTTTCACACTTTGTCATTCCATTTTCTTCATTTGTGCATTCATACGTTTGTTCTCTTTTGCATGAATTATATGGTTGTCGTTGCATCCATCTCATTTCCCTGCATCTTCAATATACTGGGCTATTTGGCAGAATTGTTTTCTTGTAATTAATAGCAGCTATAATGATACTGCATAGAATTGCGGTGCACTGTAACTGTGATACTGTACATTCATGTATCTAGTTTATATTTTTGTAGTTGCAATTTGTTCCGTCATGTGTGTTTTTACAAATAACACAGGTAAGATCAAGGAACATCCTGTAAATCGGCGACCTGTTTTCTTAATCACTTAACTACCAGGTGCCACATCCATTTTGGACGAATAAACACCCCACCGCCAATAGATTTCTGTACAAGAACTTTACAATGACATCACTGTGGTAAATTGAAGCTTCTGGGATTTAGTTGGGGAAGGAGCAATACAACTACTTGTTATTTTTAAAAAAAAATCCATAAACTTGGCATTTGTAAAGCTGAATTTGGTAAGGGGATTTAGAATTGGGGATGGGGGGATCTACCTTTCAGCGGGTGAACCAGGCCATACAGAATAATATACCAGAATACATCAATACATTATACTTTGTATATAATTCCATACAGATATTAATGACTAAACTGTACAGCATTTTTACATTACATTTTTACAAAGGATCTCATCTTCAAAAATGCGTGGTATTCTCTGCAGCTGGATTAAAAAAAAAAAAAAAAACGTGTGCCCAAGTGCGCCAATGCCAAAGGAACTCTTCTTCCACAACACTGCATGTGTGTATGGCTAATGTGTGACTGTGACCTCAGGGCGGCGGCTGCAGGTTCCTCCGTTATGACTGCTCTGTGGAGGCACCGCGTAAAGGCTGGGCCCTAATGCACCCTGGCCGCCTCACCCATTACCACGAAGGCCTGCCAACCACAGCTGGCGTCCGATACATTGCAGTGTCGTTTGTGGATCCCTGAACTCCCTCACATCTTCAGGACCGACGCCCACACGCAGCATATTTAAAATGCATTGGATTAAGCATCACAGCAAGTGTTGGCGGCTTCTTAGCTTATTCACTTGACTTCACATGCTATTGTGACTGTCTCCAAGATGTGTATTTTTAAAATTCAAAAAAGGGAATTTGAGCCAGTGAATTTTACATTGTACATATGAGTGTTTGTGACACACAGCCGTACTGTCAGACCTGTTACATATTTATTGTTTACCATGCCTACTGCCCAATGACAGCCAGGAGAGGCTCTAGCATGCCCACGACCCTCTTGAGGATAAGCGGCTCAGATAATGGATGGATGGATGGATGCACATATCGGGTGTGAATGTTGCCACTGAGAGTCCCGAGCCTGACATTTCAAAGGTATCATTTGCCGCAAATGTCTTGATGCCTTTTATTACAAAACAACTATTTCTCAACAGCCACAATGTTCAAGTGTTGTAACTTTTTGTCTTCACTGTGTCAAAGATGAGCGCAATAAAACATCTACTGTCAATCCTGATTGTGGAGTGTCGTCATTAAAGCACATACAGCACACTGCAAAACAGGAAATGTGTTTATAAAAGGCCTTCATATACGGTATAACACTACATCATTGAATATGGGATTAACATTGTGAGGATTTGGCAGGTTTACCAACATCATGTAGTAACACAAATACAGTACACTGTACTTTGTTTCACTGACTTGTTCCATTCATATTTAAATGAGAGGTCAAGTAAATGGGTGTCACTTATACAGTGCTTTTCTACCACGGGCACTCAAAGCACATTACACTGTTACCTCATTCACCTACTGATGATGCAGCATCGGGTGCAACGGGGGGTCAGTGGCTTGCTCAAGGACACTTTGACATGGTCACATTGGCCGGGATGGATCCCTCGACCTCTGAGTTGGGAAACAACCACTCTACCACTGAGCCATCTCGCCCCCGCCCACAAGTAACAAAAATGTTCAAAAAATTCAAAATATGTTCTATGCGCTCGCTGACACACGGCATCTTGCATTTGTGGAATATGAATTAAGCAGCAAAATCCACCTGTACATCCATCGCTGATGGCGGCCATTTTGCACTTTGTGGTCGACTGAAAATGACAGTCACCCAGGACTTGGGTAACTGTCATGGCTCACCTGGGCTACCTCCGAATGTGCACACTAGTTCTTGAATAGTGCACTATTATGGAGAGCTGCCATTTTGTAGGGTGGTTCAAATGTCCAAAAGAAAAAATGTAGTGCACTCAAAATTACTTCCATACACAACATTCTTGGGAGATGCATTGAAAATCGATGGGCAGTAAACAGGTGGATTTTGTTGTTTAATTCATATTAATTCATTCTTTCATTTCTTTTCTCTCAGTGTTCTGGAAGCTCTTCCTGCCCACCAAGAGCTGGTTTCACATCTTCCTGAAAAGCCCCATGACATACTTTTCTCTGCTTCATAGCTACATGCTTCTGTGCACAGCCTTACTCACCAACACGCTATGCTTCCTAATCACTTCTCTTCTGGAATAGTGTTTCCTTCACTACATGTCCCAATTTTATTTATTTATTTTTTACCTGGATACCAATGACCTCATCATCAGTTTCATTCACGAACATGTCGATTCATATCTGCATCAATACAGACTCTTTGCCAGAAATTCTCTGAAGTTCTTCATCTGGCTCCTGCCAATTTTTTTCCCCCTCCATTCGTCCACATCCTACCTGTGGGGCATTACCACTAGTTACATTAAAGCACCCATGTCATAACTTGTCCTTTTATCAGGTTTGCCTTTTTCAACATATTCATTTTGGTGAAAAGGGCAACCTCCACATGAAATAGCCCGATTTTCCATGAATATTCACTATGCAAATAAAATTTGCTCTGCTTCTCTCTTTGTTCTTCATTTAATATGAGAATATAGGTTTTCTCCAATTGATTAATTGCCAAGATGTGGGCATCTTCTGGCTGTGTCATCTTCATTGTGTAGGCTCTGTTTAAATTGGAGGCCTTCGACGCAATTGCAGCATGACAGCCTGCAAAATCTTACAGCTCCCGGAGGGGACTGACTAAAGTGTGCATGTGTGGCTTAAAAACCGTAAATGAATTTTTAACATGTGAACTTTAATGCAATAACAGCAAATACAGACAGAACAAGGAAATAAAAACAAAGGAAGAATGATTATAAGCGAAAGCGGTCAGAAAGGTTTGGAGACTGTGGGATTGTGAGTGGAACGTCACTCTTCTTCACCTCCACGCTCCTGTAGTGGCGAATGGGTTGCGCCTTGTGAACCTGAAAGGAGAAGGGGGCAACATCTGAACTACACGCAACTTCAGAGGAGCCAAATGTTCAAAACACAGCAGTAAACGAGGTTTTAACTTTAACTAGACATGAGTGGTGACTTAATTTATCGATTAAAAAAAACATTTAAAACCCTGGGATAAACTCCCGCTTTTCCCCTGACCCCAAAAAGCAAAAGTGACAAATTTAGTACGTACTTGTTGTTGTCGAAGTTTAGCGAGATCCATTTTCTGCTTCTCTTCCTCCTCCTGCCGCAGTTTCTCTTTTAGAAGCGCCGCGACAGCCTCCTTCTCACAAAGATGCTGCTGAAACTCATCACGGTTTCGGGCACGACGCTCTGTTGCCAGCTCAAAGGACTCTACAACTGTGGAAGAATCAAGTCCGCTGGTAAAGTATTGCTTAATTTTCAGCCACCTCCTCTTCATTCAAAACCTTATGTTGGGGAGTCACAAAAGCGAATCATCTTACCCAATGCAGGGCGATCTTCCTTTTTCGGCTGGAAAGGTTCTTTTTGGGTGACTTTGTTCGGCCTGGCTTTAAATGTTGCTGTCTCCTTTATTTTTTTCTGCTCCTCTTTCATCTACCCCCAAACAACAAAATAATTAAAAAAAAAACCATCAGTACAATAGATAATGTTGATGGATATTAGATGTGGGCTAGGAACCTTGCCAATTGATTAACTTATACACAAGATTAAACAATCAGGTAAAAAATGTAGAGTGATCCTACTTTGTGTACCAAGCAGGATTTCAGGACAAAAGATTCTTCCATCCGAATAAATACAGCAGGTTTAACTGTTCATTTTCCCCGATGGTGGACTAAGGAAATATTGAAAACTGTCCAATGGTCCCAATATACAGTCCCGGTAAGTATTAACATATTACAGTTTCACAAGTGGTTAATGAGCAATTGAACAAACAAAAGATTTGAGAATTAATGACTGCGTGGGTGAATAAAGAGTGTTTGCCGCACATCTTCATATACCATTTGCTCCAAGCGGTCACTCTTGACTGTGCCGCGTTCATCCAGCAGAAGTCTGAAGGGCTCAGGCTTTGTGGCTTCCAGCTTCTTCCTTTCAGGAAGACTGACTTTGTCAAAGTGTGGCAGTGGCTGAGCCTTGAAGAGCGGAACCTGGAGGTGACATTACGCCCTCAAGTTACGCTTTTCAACAAATGTCTAACTGTAGGACCAAATGGCGAATCCATCTCACCTCCTCCTCCTGCTGCTCCTTGATGTCCTTAAGTTTTTTCCTCTCTTGTTCCCTCTGCTCAAAGGAGAAAGGACACACCTCTGTGTGTCTCTTGTCCTGCAGCATGGGCTGGAATGGCGTGCCAAATTGAGGAACCGGTGTATGCTTGATTGAAGGGAGGGGCTTCACCTGAAAAGAGGGTTCATTGTCATTCCGTGCGGGATGTTAAAGGGATTTCATTCAAACACCGTACACAAGGTGCTCACTTCTTCGGCTTTCACATCAATATGATGATCTTTCTTTGTGAGAGTGAAGGCCGGCGAATGCGCCACAGTTGGTTGCTTCACTTTCCTCTCTGGCACTCCCTGTTGACATGTCAAGTTTATTTGTGTACTCCTTAATCACAAAACAATTTCAAAGGGCTTCTCAAGCATAAAGTTGACAAATATTAGAGAGAGTCCCTGATCTGAAGTCCAGTTGATTCCACCTGAAATAGTCCATGTTTTTCTGAAGAATCGGGACTCACCACGACTCCTTCCAGGATTTTCTTTGGCAGTTCTTGTGCTTTGAAAGTGGACTGTGGCTCAGCTTGGGACTTGGTATTCTGCCTCTCCTGGAGCCTCTTTTCAATGTGCATGGTGAAAGCCTCTTGTACAGTGGGCTCCTTCACCACTGGCTTCTTCACAGCATCTCTTCTCTCGAGAATTTTTTTGTTCAGCGCTTGGGCCTTGAAAGTTGACCTTTTGAAGTGCAGCAAAAGACTTACTGAAAAAAATTTCTCACATAGGCTTCAAACACATTTAAAGCCAACACACTAACCGTGTAAACATATTTAAGCACAAAAACAAAGTCTCAAAGTTTATAGACAATCATGTATTTTGTGTCCATGTGTTTAAATATTCTTCTTTACCCTACCATACGAAGATAAATAAAATACACACCTGGGATTGAATTCTTAAAAGAGAAATGTGTCCCCTATTTAAGTGGCTTGGCTTGATGGGGTGCCATGTGACATCTTGTCATGTGCGAGTGTGAGCAGTGATTGACAGCAGCTTCTGCTTGAGTGTACCTATGTGTTTCTACTGGTCTGTCTGCGTTCAATAAATGGCTGAAAAGTGCATCAAAGACTGAGGTTGTCTTTTCCCCACATGTGAGGGCATTACAATAAGTAGTGTGTAAAAAGGCATTAAAAAAAGTGGTAAAACTGTACTTGAAAGCTCAGACAAAAGTGAAATGAGAGCTTTTTGTTTTGATCTTACTTGTGTTCTTCCTCTTCGGCTTCCAGTTGAGCACTGCTCTTAACAGTGGATGGTCTGCTCCTCAGTCTTGTTGCGAACTTTGGCGACTGAGGCCGAGTGAGCCGCAGTCGTTGTGCCTTAGCTTTGGGCGGGCCTGTTAAAGGCAATGGGAGTTTCTCATCTCTCACAAAGCTACTCAAGAAATACTGTACAAAAAAAAAAAAAGCAAGACGGCCACACCTTTGGCTCTTTCCTGCCGACTCAGCTCATGGAAGCGTTGAGGGGTTCGCGTCTGTAACTGCATTATATGCTGGGCCACTGGTACATAGGGGTTTTTGGTCATCTTTTTCTTGTGGCTCCTGAGAAGCCTCCCAGGTCTGTCTGCACTGTAACCACTGAGCAAATCCGCCTACCCAAATAAATGCAAGATTATGAGATGCAGAGTCCAAGACTGCGACCAAATTGGTCATGTACGCGAGCCGTTTTTCAGCATACGAGAGTCAGAAACAGTCATTCATCTAGTTGAGTTTGTGCAACTGCATGCGTTTCAATGCTCCTATCAACATAGTCACTACATTAGACAGTGTGGTTAAAAAAAAAAATTCACACTCTTTCAGTCTAATGAAATTTCTGCATTGTGTGCATGCCAGCTTCTGTGGACTTGCACATGGACCACAGACGCATGTGTGTTTGTAATTCAAATAGTGACACCGCAAGAGAAGGGGGGTGGGGGGGTTTAAAAACCTCCTGTGTTCAGTGCGCATTCGATGGAAATACTAGCGGATTGACTAAAAGCAGGAGTCCATTGTAATTCCTTCAGCGCATGTGGGGTTGACATGTTTGTGTAAAATGAAGACCGGTGTTTAAAAAAAAAAATAATTGCCTTCTATAGTACATGTATACAATGTATGGGAGAATGACAACAATGTCTCCATGCACAAAAGAGTGTGGCAATGTGTGAAGAGTATGAGTCTATGTTTGCACTAAGCCAAATGAAAGGCCCCCGATGGGCCATAGTGAGAATAAACACACCCATGTCAAAAGGTAGTGGGTTTCCATACATCACGATACAGTACCAAAATTTCTAAAAATGAATTGTAGTGTCATATTTATGTTTTGATGGATACATTTTACCATATAAATCAATTAGCAATCTTAATTAGTAATAGATAGACATGCATGTTTAGTCACCACAACTGCTAATTAAACTTCATCAACATGGATGACATGGAAAACACCCTCTCCGTGAATTTTAATAGCATCTACAAAAATCTTACTAGTTATGTTACTTACTGATGAAGATTCTGCTTGAGGTCGACTGTCAGATGAATTCAATTCCTTTTCTGCATCACAATTCTGTTCCATTTCATTGTTGACATCATGGCTTGTATCCACATGGTTCTCGGTGCTTGAGAGTTAAATATCACAGTAACAACATAATGGCTTCGATTAGTACCAGTTATTTATTCATTTTTTAGCTCTCTGATCGGCTCCAAAATCCTGGTCGAGTAAAACCTATTCATGAAAAAAACATAAATCACAATCCTTGTGTTTTTCTGCCCTGTACTTCCTTGGAGCATGGGAAAGATCCTTTACGTATCCGCTGGCGTCTTGCTGACACCTACTTTGTAACAATTTGGTGAATTTCACACTTTTTCCAGGAATCTATATTGTTGGTCAAACAACTCCATAAAGAGAACACAAGATGAAAAATTTTATTGAACTTATACAAAAACAACAACAAATAATTATGTAAAGAAATTGTGACAGCTTGCAACTCTAAAGACCGATAAGTTAGGAAACTCATAAGTCAATGGACCAGTGCAGTGTTTTCCTTCAATATGTCCATGTGTTTCTGCCCCTTGGTTACGACCGAATGTAACATGAGAAAATGAAGATGAAATGGCACTTACTTTTTAGATTTTTTGGGGTCTTGAGAAGACAAACCAACAAGCCTCTTACGCTTTGAAACCCTAATAGAACAAATGTGAGTCAATTGTAACAGTAACATGCACACATCATTCCAGCTACAAGAGCCCAAAGTCTTGGTGGTCCATAATCATGCAGGCATTAAACAGGTACCTGCGTGGTTCATCTCCCTTCTGTATCTTTGCCACTGCACCGCAGTCAGGTGGTGTGGGGTCAGCAGCCTTAGAAACTGAAAATCACACACAATGTTCATATTTAAGAGAATTCCATTGATTATAAGGGGTGCACATAAGTATTGCGCATAAGGACTAAGTGCACTGGATTGAAGTGTCTCACTGAGCATTTGCATTCCAAGCATTGGGCATGTGTCATCTTTCATTTTAATGGTGTACCCTAAAGGGGGAAACTATCAAGGCATCCCGCATTGTTTAACAAACATTTTCACACTTCATCGAGGTGCACCAATGAGTTAAAAAGATAAAAATTGATATTTAAAAGTGTTAGTCATGAATTTCATCATCAATTAATAAAATTAAAAAACAATTTGGTCGGAGGGGAAATACTCTGTGCCTTGTAAATGACTTGCACAGGGCATCAATGAATATTCTCCCATTCGCACAAGAGTCAATTTCTTAGGCTGCAATTCTCCCTTCCAGACTTCTTACCATGCAGACCACAGAAATACTGTATGTGCGCAAAGAGACAAGATACGGTGAAGTCTGAGGGTACCCCTACTTTCCAGAAAAAGGAGTTTTCATGAGATGTGAATTCCACAGGTTTCCATTTTGGAAAATTTGTCACTTTGATTATGAAACGATTTTGCATCATGGATCTGGATGTTTGTGCGGCTCATCTCCACGCTACTTTGAAGACGCATGCATTTTTAATAAAGCCAATAAAAGCAATTTAAATCAGAAAACTGTGCTCATAAACGGAATGAAGAGAACCAAGCAACGATATTACACTAACCAGCATCTGTTACGGCAATTCTCATTGGGCCCACAGTGGCTGTGTGTTTAGGTGTTGCATAATGTGGCTGATCAACAGCTCGGCGATCTGCAAAAACAAGACAAATTTAGATTAAGAGCAAGATAACAGACATAAACAACTTTCTATTTTTATATACAAGTCTGTTATTTATCCGAACAATTCATATTTCGCCTTATGATTGTCAGCTGATGAGCATAAAGACAAATACAGCCAACCAAAGGCGTAACCCATTTACGATCACAAGTTTCTGCCGTCAACTGGCCAAACGTCGGTGGTGGTTTATAAAAGAATATTAACAAGTCCTAGTGAATGCTTACCGAACCATTCATCGTCGCAAGGCTCGTTGGCCAACTGCTTGAAGTCGACGACGTGGGAAGGCGCGTCGAACTCGTATCTGCCCGCTGGATCACGGACGCAGTCATCAGCCATTTCGACAAAAGTGCGCATATACTCACCAAACAAAACGGCCTAAGAAGTAAACAAAATGAGAGTTTGTAGCGGTCCTGAGCAAAGTTTGGTTGACAAATACACACAGAACAGCCGAGCTGTTCCGTGAAGCTGATGGTATGGTTGCACTAAGAAAACGTTTCTTGAAGTTGAACTAGTTACAACGTCTTAGGGGTCTTTATTGTCAGTGCAGAGTTAAAAGTCCTAAAAATATCCTGTAATATACCATAAACACTTACCGTTTGCGCGTGTACGCAAGAGACGGAGCGCGACGAAGACTCAGTTTGGGCAGTTAACTTTAAGTGAAAAATGTAATGGCGGTGCTTTTTAAACTGTCCAATCGCTGACTTTGTGCTTGTCACCTCGACGCTTATTGGTTCACAGTTCACACCAAGTCAACGTTAACAGCGCCCTCCAGCCAGGAAGTCGCAGAAATTGCTATACGCCTTTTTCTGAGCAAAATAAAACAAGCAGGCGAGTGAAATTTTATTTCACTGCAGATTTATTCAACGGTTAAGATCAAGGATACTAAATTTAAAACTCTTTCTTCACAATAAATATATTAGTTTTTTTTAGGAGGGAAAAGCAAGCAATGAATAAAGCGTCATGCGTTCTGTTCAGATGCTATTGATGTCATCACTAGTGATGTGTCGTTCGCGAACGAACCGGCTCTTAGAGCCGGCTCTTTGAAGTGAACGACATGAGCCGGCTCCTCATCGGGAGCCGCTCTTTATGGGAGCCGACTTTTTTTTTCTCCTGTTTTTTTTCCCCCTGTCGGTTAAAGCCGCACGTCACACGCGCTTCAGTGAAGAGAAGGGGGAGGAGTTAGAGAGACAGCAGCACACTGTGAGCAGCACGAACAGGAGAGACAGGGAGACGAGAGAGAGCTCGATAGCGCTACAGTACAGAGAAAAAAACTACACGTGGAAAGTGGAAAGGTGAGAAAATGGATCGGAAACGCAATGAAATTTGGACTAATTTCAACTTAATTGATAGTTCAAAGGCAGCGTGTAGACTGGGCAAGGTTAAAATATCCAATACCAAATTTTAATTTGTAATTTGTTGTGTGGTAATCAAAGCTTACTTATGTTGTTTTACTGTAAATAGTTAAACGCTTATAAATATACACAATCAGAGATTGGAACTTTTTGTTGACCTTGTTTTGAGATGGGTCTTTGTTTTTGTACTTTGTAATTTATTTTTTGTAGCACTCCATGTTGTACGCCATGTTGAGTATGTTCAGAATAATATAAAGCCATATAAATAATAAATATTTGATATACTGTACATTTTTTACATTCGTAATTCATTTTACACATAATTTTACATTATTTTTGGGAGTAAATTAATTTAAGCAACAAAAAAACTGAGGAGCCATTTGAGAGCCGAAAGAGCCGGCTCTTTTTAGTGAGCCGAGCCAAAAGAACCGGCTCTCTAAAAAGAGCCTGAATTTCCATCACTAGTCATCACTGGACAGGAGATTCTGCCTATGACTAAGATCATCAAACTGTTCGTAAAGTTCGCGCTGACGAATGAAGTGATAGATGCTACTGGTTATCAGTGATGATGTATATTTAAAACCTGAATATTTATACTTGCATATTGGGGTGATCCTTATAGAGGGTAAAAGTTCACAACTCACACACTACATGTGTTAGAATATCAATAAAAAAACTGCGTCAAAATTGTAATTTGGTCCTTCAATATCAAAAGGTTCTCACATAGCAAAGACATTTGGCCCAGATGCGCCATGAAGCCGGCACAGGTGACATTGCGTCGGTACTGGCATCAGGCATATGGGCTGATCATGGCTCAGGAGTGGCAAAGGAGGCACTGGATTGACTCTGGCAGACAAGATGCAGGCCAGTTGTTGAGTGAAGCATGTGGCCCAGAAATCAATTTATGACTCTGGGCCATATATGGACAGCCAGTCTTGTCTCACCCTTAAATGCAGTTTAAAAAAAAATTCTACACAGTCTTGTTTTACATCACAGTCGTATGCAGAATTCTATTACATCTCACACACACACGCACGCACGCACGCACGCACGCACACACACACACACACACACACACACGCTCACTCATACGCACACACAAATTCAACGCGGTCAAGTAAGATTGTTAAAGTCGACTGAGGTCCGTGGAAGAAGGTACAAGTATTTTTATTTTTATTTTTTTTACTGCTCTATTCATTGCTCACGGTCTTTGAAATTCAAATAAATATTTCCAGGGATTGGTCATTTTAAGAGAAATTGTGCAACATAAGAACACAGTGGCACAACAACACAGTGGCACAACAACATAAAATGTTATATTCTTAATAACAATGACATTGTGCTTGTGTCCTACAGATCAAGTATATTAGGCAAAGCAAGTTAATTTGTACAGCATTATACAAGGTGTGCAGGTGATCGAGCTTGTCCACTATCCGGTGTCTCAGGAGTGGGAAGCAGTGCGCAATTAACAAAGATCTCCTTAATTCCACTGACACACTTTCCTTTGAGAAAGCAGAGCCTGGAGATTTGGAGGGTGGGGGATTTCCCATCTCTGGGTTTGAAGACACCGAGTTGGTTACAAAGCCCTTCTGTGGAAAAGCATTGTGAAAACAACCATTGTCAAAACGTTCAAAAAAAGGCTTGAAAAATTAACTACTTTACATTACTCAACTTGGTCTGTTCAATTTGTAGAGCACTTTAACAATCACAACTGAAACAAATTAAACAAAACTGAAGAAGAAAAAAAATTAAAAACAAATCAGGTACAGTATTAAAAGAGGGACTTTTCATGATTACAAATGCTTTCTATGTCTTGGTGGAGTCCGGACACAATTTCCTGGTAAAAGGGTTCTGAAAAGACAAGAACCACATGGAGACTTGGTTGAACAGGTCTACACATTGGATCTGTACATAACCTGTTCTAGAACGTGACTGACCTCTGTCAGGCTCAATAACTGAATGTCTAATGAGAAAGTCCAAGACCACCATGGCAGAGTTAGATTTGAAATCTTCAGGGGCCAGCATTTCTTTCACCTAAAGAAAGAAATGCATTCATTAAAAGGATAGAACATCATCTTTGGATCCTGGAGATTTTAGGGTAGCCCTTATGGTTACATAGTTAATTCTGGGAGTCGCTAATCATACTCTCACCTTCTCTATGGGCAGGAGGTAGAATTTCTGCACTTTTCCATCCCCTGCACTGGGCTTGAAGGTTGGTGGAAGTTCCAAATCAAAGATAAACGAACACTCTGAAGAGACCCCATCTTCATCTTCATAAGTGTAGCTAGTGAACATTTTTTCAAGCAATAAGTGGTACTCATTTGTCTTCAATGTCAAGGACAGGATTTAGTTTGTTGGCTAAAATACCACTGTAATTATATTGTTCCAAAATTATTATAGACATGCTGGTTTTGTTCATTTTCCCAATGTTGATGCATTTTTGTTTTTAACATAACGACCTTTTGCAATGCGGGGGGGGGGGGTGTTATTGACCCAAACCATGGTGACAATAGTACTCCAGTTTTACAAAATTACTCAAAAGACAGTGTTCCAAATTATTAAACATGACTGTTAAAAATAACAACTCATAGTAAAGGATAGTTTCTGCCTGTATTGTGTTTGAGGTTGCAAGAATTGCCTCCCAGTTTCGTTAGTTGGAGTTACAATGCTGCCCATGCTCATAGATCTTTTAACAATGTTGCACTTCAATAAAGTTGAGGTCAGGGGATAATGGTAGCCACACTATGAGTTTTTCTCTCTTTATAGAAGTACATGCTGCTGCGCCGGTCCCAAACACCGAACCACATCAGGTCCCAAGCCCAAATATGAAAAAGGGCACCAAAAAGGGCATTCAGCATAAAAATCATGCAAAACAAATCATTTGATGTTCTGTGGTGACAACCAATGGAATGAGCAAAAGTTACAGCATGCCCATAGCAGATTTATTCATGACAATACAGTTACAGTGTAAGATACTGCATTGTCCTGCATTAGAATTACTTTACGGCATAGGCATGAATTTTTTTTTTTTAAAACCACGGCAGGTAATCGGAACTCCACATACTGTATTTTGCAGAGGTCATTTTGACACAAATCCGCCCTAATATATTTCTGAACCCAATGTAAACATTTCTCCTTGTATATTCATTCATTCATTCATTTTCCGATCCACTTATCCTCAAAAGGGTCGCAGGGGGTGCTGGAGCCTACCCCAGCTGTCTTCGGGCAGGAGGCGGGGGACACCCTGAACTGGTTGCCAGCCAATCACAGGGCACACAGAGACGAACAACTATCCGCGCTCACACGAGGGACAATTTGGAGTGTTCAATCAGCCTGCCATGCATGTTTTTGGAACGTGGGAGGAAACTGGAGTACGTGTAGAAAATCCACGCAGGCCCAGGCAGAACATGCAAACTCCACACAGGAGGCTGGCGCTGGAATTGAACTCGGTACCTCTGCACTGTGAGGTCGACGCACTAACCACTGGGCCGCCTCTCCTTGTATATATGAGGCCAAAATACAGCCTGATACATGACTGCAAGCCCTTGGAGGAACTGGCTGTTCTTGAGACTCTGCTCAAGCACCAGTAGCTTCGAATTGCTGCATGCAACCATAACAATTTGAAACATCTCTCAGAGTTTCAAGAATTATTTACTTTCCTTTGATAGTGACAGTGGTATTTGATCTACAAGACCGACATTAATTTAGATCTTTGAAATGTGTCGAAAAGAGTCTACACGTACCTTATGGTGGATACAGGGTGGGCCTTTTCTGCAAGCACTTTGGGATACATGCCTCTTCCTGACATTCTTTCATAAGTGTGTTCTTGATGCTCACACCAGCAGCCAGACCACCGGCTGCCTTCAAGGACACAAGGCTGATCAATTGAATCCCTCAACCAGACATTAATCAAGGACAACAGTAAATTTTTCAACAGCAGTCCTTTTGGCATAGGAAAACAGGAATTGGTGTTTTACAGAGGCCTACAACTTTATCTTATGCATTTTGTTCAGGTACTTATTGTTTGTCTTTCGTTGTCTTTATTTAGTGGAAAAGCAGAAAGATTTAATAAAAAAATGACACACAATTCCTCCTCTCCTGTGCCTGTTCTCCCTGTGATGTGCTTTTCTACACACTGAATTGCAAGTGTGTTCATTTGGGCTGCTGGTTGTGACCCGTTTGTGCTCACCATGTTGTCAAGTCGTCCAGGATAGGTCGGCTTGGTGGGAGAGCGTCGTGCGAGCCACATACAGAGGTCCCCAGTCTCACTAACGGTGTAACCATTGATATGGACTCCATAGCACTTAACCCCGAAAAGGCCTGTTGGACAGGAGAGTGAGCATCAGATGGGACTCGTGCAACGATGGATGTGGGTGACTCACTGGTAGCTGCTCTTTCCATCCACATCACTGGAGGGTCTGAGAATTTGCCAATTACATTGAACCTCTAAGAGAAGAGAATACATCATCCAATTAATACTTTTTGTATTATATCCTTCCGGTTTAAAAAAGCAACATTGTGTTTCGCAGTGGTAATAATAAGAGCATACAACGGTCCCACATACATCTGGAGCAGTTCAAGGCTTCTCTAGTGGCATGACATTAAAAAGAAAAAAAAAATCAACCAAAATACATCACGCTCGCCAATAATCAATTCCTCAATTATTACAATAAAATACAAACATTTATATTTACATACCACTTTCACAACAGCTGTAGCTATAACAAAATACTTTACAGAACACTTAACATAAAATAACAATAATATCACAAAACACATAACATAAAACATCAAATGTGAAGATTCCTAGTGACATGTTTTGGCAGTCAAACGTGGCTCGTTTTGACCAAGCAGTCACAGGATGATAAAAACTCCTGACATTCTTTTGGGGAACACTCTGAGGTGAATTTGAAATCTGACCGTTTAAAAAAAAAAAAAAAAAAAAAATCAATCTAATACAGTGAACCCTCGTTTATCAGTGTGTACACACACACACACACACACACACACACACACACACACACACACACACACACACACGAATATATATATATATTCATATATATGTGTGTAAAGAGAGATTTTATGTACTATTTTCACTCCCACAAGCTTTAAAAACATTTTAATTTCTTAAAACACTTTTTTTTTAAAGTACACTATTCCTTTCGCCAAGGAGACTACTGTGTCATCGAGGGAAATATGGACAATTCTTCAAATAAAAGCGAAGTATGCTTGCTTCAAGCCCCTTTTTTGTTGACATTTGCAATGAAACTGATTGAAATTTGAAACAGAGTAAATTCAACATAATGGTACAGTGGTATCGTGACTTGAGTTTAATTTGTTCCATGATCAAGCTTGTAACTCAAATTACATGTTTACTTCATTGAAAAGAGTTGGAATGTCATTAACTCATTCCAGCCTACAAAATAAACTAAAATCACACTTTATGATACAACGTTTTGATAAAAAATAGCACTGTATTGTAAAATATTAAACAATCAAGGAGATTTTAAATAAAGACCCTCGGTTTATAAAGTGTAATCACGCACATTGCAATGTTATGTTGACGTGTGCCTTTATAAGGCGTGGCTTTGTGAATGACATCAGGAGCATTGACCCCAGTCATTTACAATGCCAATTAGTGATGTGTCGTTCGCGAACGAGCCGGCTCTTAGAGCCGGCTCTTTGAAGTGAACGACATGA